TTGAATTTACATTTATTATTATATCCATTGTGTAATTGACACTATTCGGATTTGAAATAAGTCCATTTTCACTGTTGGTCACTTTAATACGAAGTCTGTAAATTTCTATAGCTTCACGATCTAACATTTGAGCTAATTTCAAAACACGGGTTTCCTTATTCAATTGAAACAGCTCAGCATTTTCCGGCATGAAAGTTTCTGCAGAAGAAAATATAATACGGGAATATTATTATTTTATAAATTATATATATTTATTTAATGTTATTAACCAATATAAAAAACTTTGTTTGATAAAATATAACTATTTTAATTATAATTAATAAATAAATAAAGAAATTTACAAATAAAATTTTTAGAATAAAGTTTTTTACCCTCAATAAAATAATAAAGTTTGTAGGGCTCCTCGTCTAAATTTAGACCTTCGTTTTTGGGATCAAAAGCTTCTGGGATCAGTCGTTCTTCTGTCAAACCATCATCATTCTCTACAAAATTGTAATGATTTTTATAAGCTTAGCACATAAATATATATTGTTAGTAAATTTTAATAGCAATTTATAGCTTCAAATAATTTTAGTTAAATTAACTCTTTAAATAATCATAAATAAATAATATAGTTATAAAAAGCAACCAGTTAGAAAATAGCTAATTTGAAAATAACAAAGTTAAAGCAAGTTTGTCCATTCAATTATTTCGACAGTTTGAGACCAGAGGTAGCAAGACTTATGGTGCTTAAGATGACGTATGAGTTTTAGTGACATCAGTACATTCGATACAGTTTTTTAAGATAGCAAAGTTTCGATGAGTGCCGCTTGATAATTTGATTAAGGCCTTCTTCTACCGTTGTTATACCAACATCACGATGAAGATCATAATTTCTGATTTTCAAGTATTCGCTTAGGGGGTTTAATTACTACCAATATAAAAATCATATATCTGACGCTTTAATTAGTGAAACTTCAATTGTTCAACTTGTCTAGAGTTTGCAAATAGATTAATATGTTAAACGTTGCCGAAGGTCTGTGAGCCATCAAAAAATTCAGTTGAATAAACCGTTTTATATTAAGACCTGTTTTTTATAACGTGGGTGATACTGTTTACATGGTCCAGCATATAGTTGAGTAATATTTTATTGAAATGATAATGTATTTGAATATAAGACATAGTCATTATTATAAAATATTATGGTCGATATATGAATTATATTATATTATAGTATATATAATCAATTATATGAATAGATGAATTCTATGAATATTTATTAAAGGAAAAATTAAATATGTCTGGAGGTTTATTTTGCAAACAATAATCATTGCTTTAATATTGTAAGAGTCCACGATTCTTTTCTAGAAGGTTTCATATTTAATAATAACAAAATAATTGACTTTATTTACCAGTAAAATTTGTATAAAACTCTCTCTCCAAGAACATAGGATTTCCTAACATATCCACAAAAACAATTTTTAAATTGCGAATATCTTCGGAAGAACTACCGCCGCCATCCGTAGCACGAATGTTCAGCTATGTTGAAGAAAACATTATAAAAATATATTTAATGTTATTAATTATTTAATATTAATATTTAAATCATTTTATTATAAATTAAACGTACATAGTAGATACCAGCTGGTACTAATTCTTGCAAATAGAGGCTTGATTGATTGCGACTGTTTTTTGACAATTGAAAATATTTATCATGACCCACTAAAACATGAGTTCAGAGTTTATAATATTAGCGTGAGAAGAACTTACATAAAACTAACCATCGCTACTGAGTAGAAAGTTTATATCACCGTATTCTCCACCATCTGGATCAAATGCCTCAAAATGCGGTAAACGACTTACACAGTCTGCTTGAAATAGTGGACGATTGGGTTCTTGTAAAGAATGACTTCAGCAATAGCACCGATAATATATCCATAATTGAAATGCAATAAAATATAAATTGTATTAAATAAATATATAAATATTTAAATAATTATTATTAAGAAATAATAATATGGTTTCTTTACCATAAACGTATAGTCTTATGTAAAACTGGGAAAATAATTGTGGGAGCATGAAAATTATAAGGCCGCACAAGTATCTCATACTTAGATGCATTTCGTAGCGTGGGTGTACCATGATCAAATGCTTCAATTTCAATTTGCCAGATACCATAAAATCCTTTAAGCGGTTTGAGACTTGTAAGTTGGCCATATGCTCGGTTGTCGCCAATAATACCGAAAAGATCCTCATATCCAATTAGATTATCGGCATTGTCACTGGCTTTAAGAGAAAATAAATTAGAATAATTGGAAATAAATATTAAAAGACTATGAAGTAATTAACATCATAAAAATTATCATTATTTTATAATGTAAGAGAAGATTTGACAAATAATAAATTGTGGTTTCAATTCCATTTTTACCTGGTCTTATATCCAAAATGTTGTAGGATAACCATGAATTGCTTGTATTATATTCATCCTTGTCTTCTGCTATAAGCTGAATTTTGCTAAGGGTATCCTAATAATTGGCATATGCAAAAAAAATTCTTTTAACGAATTTATATAAAAGTTTATTTGAATATATTTATTAAACTTATAATATATTTTATAAAATAATAAAAACAAAACAAAAGAAAATAAATCATAGTAAAGGGAATTCTTCGAAACTTTTTTAGTAATAGCTTGGTTTTTCAATAGTAGTCAATCACAACAACAAAATTTCATTTTTAATTAATTGTCCATACAGTTCCTTCGAGTATAGCTATTCGAGGGTGTTTGAACATATTCGTGGGTTTTACAATTTCGTATATAATTTTTGGACCACGAGTGCAAGTGCTAGGTTTATACCTAATTCGAACCTGTCTAATTAGACTTGTCGTGCTTTTTTAATTAGAGTAACCTTATAAGCCTGAGTTTATAGAAAATGAAATCTACTATTATTATTTTTTATTGATTGTTAAAACTTCAATACTATTTTTTTTTGTAGAGGTATTATTTATTATGTAATTTGCATTCTTCTTTCGATGTAAATCAATTTAATTAGTTAATAAATTATAAAAATTCATGAAAAATAACTAATATTGTAATAATATACTAATATACTAATGGCATTATATTGATTTATTATTCTTAAGATAGGTTACTTTAAAACCTCAAAGTTATTGAAAGACGAAACGATCTTTATAACTTTATTATCCATCCTTTCGCTCTGAGAGATGACATTACATTAGCATATATTCATTTCATATACATATTTCTTTTTAAGTAATCTTTAATATATAAATTAAATAAAAATATATGACTGTGAAGTAAAAGTTTTAAGTATGCTTTGCAGTTGGAATTATATATATTGATTTTGGTGAAAAGCGTCCCTTTCGTTTTAAAGAAATAAATATATTTCGTATTCTTACATTTGAAGGTAAAAGGAATGATTTTTGACAAAAGTATGGATGCTCAGGTAGTGTTAGTATTTAAAAATTTTAGTATACTTTACAGTCTAAAAGAATATAAGAAAAATAAGAATGATATATTAAAATTTTTTAGAAAAATAGTTTACAACAGACAAGAAAATTTTAAAGATTTTCTTGAAACTACAAATGCAGCCTTGTTCAAAAACCAAAATTTATGTTATTCCAACAAAAAACTTTTCCTCCAGTTTTGAGAACTTATTAAATATAAATATAATGAATATATAAATGTATAATGAGGTCTCCTAAATTTGGGGGCCCCGAAAGCGTTGCATCCAGTCGCTTCCCTGTAGTTACGCCACTGTCCTTACCTGAACTAGTTAATATTGAAAATTTTAATATTTCATTATAATTTATAAGGTTCACTTAAAATTTATTTGTATTTAAATTTAAATAATGAGTAAAATGGATATATAATATTTGGTATATATATATATGTCACTTAAATTATTACTAAATAATACCTTTGTATCGGACTCGGAAAATTCAGGTGAAAATAAAAATTTTGCTGGCATTATAGGTGCATTATCATTCACGTCTAATAAACTAATATTCAAAAATGTTGAAATCTGGTTAACAGCTATAATAAGGAAATATACATATTAACTTAAAAAAAATAAAGGTATGACTAACGTCCATAACCACGATTATTGAAATTGAAATTATCTTTTACATCAACTGGTATATAGTGGTAAGTGATGCCATTATCTCGATCTAAATGAAGTCCATTCCGCAAGTTGACTTTCACAATTCCGGTGGTAGCATTGATTTCAAAAAGATTATGAATATCAGATATGGCACTACTAATTGAAAATTCTAATGCATTGTGTGGAACTATAAATAAAAGAATAATATAAAACAAAATGAAGCAAAATATAATAAATTGGTTAAATTAGGATGTCATCTCCAGAAATTGAGATTCATATATACAGAACAGATTCGTTATTTTATTAAAAAGAATAAAACAACGAACAGCAATGGAGAGTTAGGAATCATTTTTAAACTTTGGAGTTTAAATATTGCTTAGAGACTGCGAGAATGAGAATGAGAGAAAGAGAGAAGGAGAGAGAGAGAGGAACAGGAAGACTGAGACTTAGATAGCTCGTTTACAAGTATATTATGTTAAGTTATATAAAAATAATGAAGTAAATATAATGGACCTTCTTTATCTGTATAATATAATTTTAAAAGAAGCGTTTTGAGCTGCGGTTGCTGTTACTAATACTTCTTTAATATTATAAAATAATTTGTTATTTATTTTAAATATAAAATAAAACAGTGTTGTGTATAAATTGTAGTTCATATCAAATAAAATAGTAACTATTCTTGAATGTCCAATACAGTAAGAACCCCGATAATCTGGATGAATTGAAATTGAGGAAGTCATATTAAAAATACAGGAAAAGTTTAAAGTGTATTTATATACAAACTTAACAAAAACTGAATTCAAAATAAAAAATTATCCACTGCTCATTGAATGGATTAATTCAATGCCTTATCCACTGCTCATTGAATGGACTAATTCAATGCCTTGAATTATTTTTTGTTATATTAGGATTACGCAGGATTAGATTCCGGAGGTTGGGAGTAGTGGAGATTTACTAAATGTGTTTAATTATGACAAATAATTATAAGTAATTGGCCGCCCTTGTTTTTATTTGACATTTTTTTTAAAAAAAGTTGTTTTTGAACTTTGAAATTTAAATTTTTTATACTCCTTAGATGAACTTACAGTCCCTGTCACGATCAAAAGCCTTAATTTGTCCCACAATTTCTCCAGTTGTAGCATTTTCATATATCTTCACCTGCTGTTCAAATGTATCCGTTTCAGGTACACGATTGTTAATATCAATTATGCTTATATTGATCTGAAAATGAAGAATCTGATTTTATTTTATAGAAAAATAAAAGATAAAAATATAAATCAGATAATTAAACTGACCATAATATAGCTTTGCTATAAAGCTACATAAATGTAAGCATAATATAAAATTTCACTATACAAACTAATAGTCACAGAATTATTAAAAAAGTTGGTTTTAGTATATATAAACTGATTACAGAAAGACTTCTAACTACAGAAATACATGAGTATTTATATTAACTAAACTAACTAAATTAAATAAAAAAGTAAGGAAATAACTAAAAAATGTATATGATAACTAAAATATTCATATTGACCTTTCCAATTGTGGTATACACTCCATCGTTTAAAACAATTTCATATTCTAAATGAAAAATCCGTGGAACATCACATTGTATACTTCCATTAACACGCAAAACACCGGTTCCATTATTTATACTAATAAGGTAGTTTTCCGTTAAATTTCCAATGGATCTAAATATTACATAAATATAAAAAAAATAAAATATTAATTATTATTTATCTATTCATGAAACATTCATTCTAAAATAAATTAATCCTATTAGTTTTAATAAAAAATACTATTTATACAATTTAATATAACCTTAAGTCAAAAGTAAAATTATTATTGCCTGGTCCATCTATATCGAAAGCCTCTATTGAACCTATTAGTAAATAAACAAAACATTTATAAAACATTTTGTTAATTATATATATATTCGCTATTTACCAATTACAGTTGATATAGTCTCCATTTCTGTAACTTTACGCGGTTCTTCTAAAGTACCAGATTTAAAATTTGGTGGATTATCATTCACGTCATCGACACGTATGGTTAATACAGCTATAATTTGAAAATCGACATAAAGATATAATAGTATCATTTATATAATATTTAATTATATGTTTTCTTCCGTTCATATAAGAGATATCTATAATTTGGCTATCATAAATGTTTCCCCATATACATACAATATTATAATTACGGTTTTTCTAAGTTTCATATTGAAATTATTCTGGGTTTGATCAACTTACTAAGACCAATAATGTCTGTTCCGATAAATACAAATATTTTGCATTAGCAGCTAATATTCGCTATGTGATAATTCATGGGAAACAACTTAAATATCAGATGTATACTTGTATAAGTCTCAACATTATTTAGAAATAATGTAACTATATTAAATAAAGTTAACATCGTGGAAACAATACTGGCCGAGAACACTCAAAGCAAAATATAACAGTGTGAACTCTTCACCATCTTTAGCGCGGTCTAATTTGAGATATTTATGTTTTACTTCAATGCTGTAAATTAATTAAGATCTAATTTATAGGACAAAATGTTCAAATATTTGAAATTAAAATGTACGCAGGCACACTAGACTAGTTCCCTTGATTGAAACCGGATTTTGTAACACTTACAAGCATACATTTTTCTTCGTTCTTTTATGTACAAATATTCAAGATGTCAAATTTGTCATTGAAGTTAATTGAAAGCGCACAACTAAACATACAAAGATTCTAATTAATATACTTAGCAAAAGTGAATATAAAAATAATTTTTTTTTAGCTACGATCGCCAAAAAAGTACCGAATTGTACTTGTAAGTAAGATTTTGATTGTATCGAGTCTTTCGACTTTACTGGTCGAAAAGGTCTTTAAATCACTATACAGTTAGATGAATCGTTTTTTATATATTATATCTTTTCAAACTTCTTCGATGATAGATCGATGTTTGTGCGCAAAGAATACGAATTCTTGAATACGAGTTTTCAAAGTGTGAAATTTATCTACCGTGAATTACTCAACAAGAATAATTTTTAAAAAGCAATCCTGTGTATCCAGAGTCAATTAGCAATAATCTCTAATAATATTTTCTCAGCCCCTTGAGATAGTTTATTTACTTACCAATTACAGTGTCCTCATTTATTTCTTGATTAAGGTCTCTTGCTTGAATAGTTAAAAATATAGTGTCATACTTCTCATAGTCCACTTGAGCTTCAAATGCAGGATTCACACGGAGTAGACCATTTAAAACATTTTTACTCTCCGCTTCAGATTCAATCAATAAACAGCTTTAAAAGAATGATTTCAAAATAGAGTTTAAATAAGTTTTTAAATGATATTTCTTGCTTATTACTTTATAAATAGCTCTGATTGTACTTCTTGACCACTTTTTGTAGCATAGGTAGCGTTCCATAAAATTTCAAGTGTTAAATTTGCTGTAGTATCAGCATCACGTACCTCGATTTTATCGGTTAAAAGTGTGGAAGGTGCAGCGTTCTCTGTTATATTAACTATAGCTCGAGGCTATGAGATATCATATTAAATCATCAAAACATGAAATTAAATTAAATATATAATAGTTAGTATCAGGAATTATGTATAGAAAAATGGGTTAGTTAAATAGTCATTAAAGGACTTTTGTGCATTTTTTATATATTTATATATGATATATTGTAATAAATCGAGTTCTTACCATTCTTAATTGAGGGGTCTCGTCATTAACATCAATTATATTAATGGTTAGTTGTGCAAATACTGTGTGTAGGGTTTTTGAGTGTTCTGTTATCAAAGTGTCCTTTGCCTGTATTTGGACCAATACAGTAGTTTGTCTTTCATAATCGAATACATTATCATGACTAGTGAATATAACACCTGCCTGGGTATTTATTTCTAAGCCAGACATATTGCCGACAATAGAATGACTGAAATTTAAATTATATTTCTTTAGTATGAATAGATATTGCACAACATCACACGTACTTAACTCTATCACCAAAGTCACGATCTCTTGCATAAATCTGTTTCAGAAATGTCCCTTTTGTAACATTTTCCATTATATTTACTTCATATGAGTCGAACATGAATATAGGCCATTCATCGTTCCAATTTATTAGTTCAATCCTTAAAGTACGGTTTGACCTGCGAGCAGAGTTTTCGACTTCTTCTGCACATATCTTCAAGAGAAAAGTAATATTATTAAAATTGAGCTAAAAATTAATTAATAATTTAATATTCTTTATTAAGAATTTTATGTTTTATGAGAAGATATCTATTTTGAATAGAAAATGGAATAATAATGAGAAAAATTTCAAATCCAAAGAAAATTCACATAAGTACAGATGTTTCAGATATAACCAACTACCCATTGTTATTGCACTTTGGAATCCCAAATTTTAAGAATTACACCGTGTCCAAAATCAGTCATGAACATACATGTTAACACCCAAAACCAACGTGCACCTAAATTGCATTATTCGAATTTACAGTTTTAGCACTTATTAGAATTAACGCATAAACCGCAGCTATACAAATTTATTTTTTCATTAAAATTTATTGTTTTTTAAAGTAGTTGTAAATTAATATAAATAATACTTTACCATTATATCAAAATTTCGCCATTCCTCTATTTCATAATCTAATTGATCTGCTTTTAGTACTGTTAAGGAAAAATTAGTTTGCTGATAGCCTGAATTAGGTACCAGAGAAAAAGCCTCTGAGTAAGATATGCCATTAGTTGTCATTAAGTAAGCTTTATACGTAGCATTTATCCCCTAGATAATATATATTAATTATTCAAAAGTTTAATATTATATATAACGACAATATATCTATCATAGAATAGAAGTATAATTATTTCAATACATTTTTTTCTATATGATTTTATTTACTTGAAATTATCCTAAAATATGTATTTTAAAGCTACCAAGTTATTGAGCTGAAATCAATAAAGGTTAATAGTGAAGAGGGAATGCTATTATCTATTGATAAACGTTAGATTATATTAAATTTACCTAATAACACAATGGATAGATACATAGAATCATATATATACTTCATAAATCAAACCAAATGAAAATTGTAATTAAATACTTTAACATGTTTGGCATATTGCATTCCCATTCTGTTATATTTGCAAGGTTTATAGGGATGAGACAACAAATAAAGTCAAAAAACGCCAAAAAACTTCACTTTAGATAAATTAGAGAAATGTGAATTACTTTTAATTAACTAAATTAACAAATTAAATAAAATAATATTAAAAAAAATGTATATAGAGATTATATTTCATTACAACGTCACATAAATGAAGAAACTAATATCTTGATTCAGTAAATTTTCATTCATAAAAACATAATATCTTATGAAAATATACTATTTTCAATATATATATATATATATAAACATTATATATATCATTATATTATACATTATATATTAACTAATGAAGTAATATATATCTCATAGAGTCCTAAAAGTAAAGTATAAGGCATTTAAATCTTACTATTTTATTTCGGTCTTACGACCTAAAGATATGTTAAAATAATTTATAACTAATTATCAATTGATTAATATTAATTAATTATTAATATAAATTAAATATTAATTATATATTAATTAATAAATATTAATTAATAATAATTAATTTATTCAAAAAAATGTATAACATTACCTACCAAATCAATATCTTCAATAATAAATTTGTCCATTGGTAATGTTAAGTACTTCTGCTCTAAAATTTGTACGAGATTTGGTTCCATAATGATTTCTGGTATATGATCGTTTATGTCTTGAACGATTAAAATAGTTGTATTTTTTATAAACCATGAGGAATTATCACATTTATATGCACAGGTCTAGAAGTAAATATTATTAAATAGTATTAATTATAAACATATATTTAGATAATTTTATATTATTTGTGTAAATATAAGCTTTACATTTTTTTTTGAAAAAATTTTTTTTATAATATAAAATGTTTACATAAAAATTAAATATTTGTTGTTGTAATATATCTCGATCAATTGGAACAACATGTAAAACCCCTGTAGTTTTGTTAATGCTCATTAGTTCAGAATCTGTGGAAAAAATGATTTAATAAATTCATATAGAACCTTGGGAAAGTCTCAGAGTTCACTTACAGTCCTCTTCAAACTCTAAACGATAACAAATAGGCTTATTTATTCCCGTATCTCCATCAATAGCATTAAGTGTGAAAAACTGAAATACAGACGAAGGAATTATAATAAGGTTTGTTACCAATTTAGGAAAAATAGTTAGAACTCTTAATAGGAATTGAAATTATTGTGTATTATAATTATAATAATAGTAGTTGTATAAAAATTTTTTATAAAAATATATCATACCTGTTCTTGTTTCTCATCAAAAGTTGCGGTTGTAAGTGGTCGCACCCAAATTGGATCTCGATTTGGCAGATCAATCACTTCCAATATTGCAAATATATTACCTGTATTATTACTGGTATCATGGACACTTACATCCAAGTTACAGACAGCACGTTCTTCATAATGCAGTGGTTTTTTTATTCTATTGAAAATATGATAATTATTTTTATGAATTTGAAAACTAAGTAAAGTTAGATTCAGCGATTGCGAATAACTACGCCGAGTTTGAAACATACGTAACACCGTAACATTATTATAAATTCAGCCCAGAAAAATATATATTTTTATTGCAGTTATTGCATTTACATTAAGGACTTTTTACTTATACCTTCTTTATTTAAATATTTTATATTTTTAATAAATACCTTAATTTGTATTCTTTCTCGTAAGTTCTCGTCTCACCGAATTCTTCAAAATCAAATATATCGGCTTCATTATATTGGCCATTAACCTGAATACGTAATATATTACGGTCCATACCGTCGGCATCATAAATTGTAAATATGCAATTCGTTATGAAATTGGTTTGCAGTTCCTGAACATAGTAAAAAAAATGTTTTTTTATAATATCTACAAAAAAAATAATATGTTTTTTATATAAAGTTCTCTTAAATCCTTTTCAATTAATTAAAAATTTAATCTACATCTTTTTAAATAGGTTAACTCACCTCTACGCGACATGGAGATGGATTGTATGTCACTGATGGCTTATTATCAAATATATTTTCCAGTGTTAGCAGAATGCCATGTTCCATTAGCTCATCAGCATCATCTTTTATATAAATTTGAAAAGCATAAATGCGTTGATTAGAATTTTCAAAGTCTTGTCGTTTTTCGATCGTAACAATCCTTAGGTTTGGTTTAGAAATAAAAAAAAACAAATTAAAAGAGTTTTGATGATCCCTTATAGGCTTACTAATAATTAAAAAAAAAAGCAGATATGATCTTAGTGTCTAAAATGCAAGGTTTTTTCTTTCTTACAACTAATTTAATCAACTCATCTCACGTAAAA